CATGCATATGGCCCTGGGTTCGCTTCCTCAGCAACACATAAGCAGAAAAAAGCCGGAAGTGGCGCTGTGGCTCAAGTCGTAGAGCGCTAGCCTTGAGCTGAAGAGCTGAGGGACAGCACCCAGGCCCAGAGTTAAGGCCCCATGCCTGGAAAAACAAGAAAAGAAAAGAGGGTTAAAACTAAAAGCCTTTGTTACATTTACATGAATTAGACTATGATTGTGAAATTACATACAGTGGACTCTATCACTGACCACTTACTTTCTACCTCATTTGCTACTGAATATCAAGGAAACTGCAGCACAATGTAGCCTCTTTTTCTGACCTGTTATACATCACTTATACTGTTTGGGATTTTATTCAGCATTTATTTTTGGATGAAAAATGTTAAGTATCAGACATGATAGTTTTCTAGTATTGATCCATTGGTACTCTTGGTCATTTTAGAAAAAGAAACAATTTTTAGGGATTGAAATTGGCAAGACTTAACTTTTCTTTTTCCTCTTAGCTAGTTAATGTTTTGATCACCATTGAGTTGAGAGCTAAATGAAATACATTACCCCTCTCCACACATTTTTTACTAGCATGTATTACTTGCATAGAGTGGCTTCAGTGTGGTATGTGGATATAATGTTCTATGATCCTGGTCTCTCAATTGTCCTTTCTTATTTTCCTCCTCCTTTAAAAGAATAATGTTAACAGGTTTTATTATGTTATTTTCACGCATTCATATTTTCTTACTCAGAACTATTATATGCTAAGAGCTCAAAAACATTTTAATAAAAAAATGACTATGAGAAATGTCTGAGAAAAAAATATTGAGGGTTTAAAAGACAATGGAGCAGTGTCTTCAAAGTTCTGAGAGAAACTGTCAAGTGGAACACCAAAATGCAAGGAATTAAGAGCATTTGCTTCCTGAATCATGTGTCCTTTATGGAAAAAGTTATTTAAGGATGTGATCATAAAAACTAAGAAAGAGTATGACATAGCTGAAAAGAAATGATACACCAATCGGGCCTAATAAGTCCAGAATAACACAATAGGCCTAGAAAGTAATTGGAAATTACCCCAATAGGAAAATTAGGAACAGTGTCTTTAAGAGGAATATAATAGGTTTCAAACCATTGATACAAGGAAGAACTTGGTAAGTATTATTGATATCATAAGAGGAAGAAATGAGGTTTAGACCTGTAATCCTAGCTACTCTGGAAGCTGAGATCTGAGGATCTCAGTCCATGAGATTCTTATCTCTAACCACCAAAAAGCTGGAAGTGGAGTTGTGGTTCAAGTGATAGAGTGCTAGCCTTGAGCACAATATCTCAAGTACAATGCCTCGGTCTAGTTTTTAAGCCCCAGTTCAGGGATAAAAAAGGCAAAAAAAAAAAAAAAAATGATTGAAATTTTTTAAAGAAGAAAACTTGTGTAACCAAAATATAGTTGCTTGTTGCAGTCATCTAAAATAAAATCTAAATACCAATCTTTCATTGTCCAAGATTCAAACAGTAGTCCTCTTTTATCTGCTGGGGAATGTTGTAGGGCCTCTGTAGACCCCAGAAATTGTAGGCAGCAGGGAGCCCCACAACTGCTCTGTTTTTTTGCACATACCTACCTACAGTGAGTCAGACACAGTAAGAGATTATACTGGTAAAATTAAAGTATGATAATTACAGTATACTGTAGTAAAACAATAAAACAAATGTACCCTTCTCAAAATGTCTTTTAGGTATGAACCTCTATATAAGATATTTTTCTTTCTTCATTAAGTCAAGAACTTTCATTTTTTCTATTAGATGAAGCATAGCTTCTTTTTACATATCTAAACTGCATCCTTCCTCCTTCCTTCTTTCTTCCTCCTCATCTTTCTCTTCTACTTCTCTTCTTCCTCCTCTTCTCCTTTTTTTTTTTTTGCAAGTATTGAGTCTTGAATTCAGGGCCTTGTACTCTTGCTTGCCCTTTTTGCTCATTGCTGGTGCTCTGCCACTTAAGTCAAACCTCTTCTTCCAGGTTTTTAGTGGTTAATTTGTCTGCCTTAGCTGGCTTAATTTCAAACTTCAGATCTCAGCCTCCAGCTTCCAGAGTAGCAAGGATAGTCTGAACCACTAGTGCCCAGCCTCCAGTACATTTCTTAATCTGTGATGATTAGATACTTAAGTTGCTTCTGTTTGTTAAAAATTGCATTTTACTGCCTCAGACGTTTGCATACAACTTTGCCCAATTTTTAGAGATGCTTCCTTTTTTTTTTTTTTTTTTTTTGTTGGTTGTAGGGCCTTAACTCTGGGTCTGGGCATGGTCCCTCAGCCCTTCAGCTCAAGGCTAGCACTCTTCCACTTGAGCCACAACACCACTTCTGCCTTTTTTGTTTATGTGGTGCTGAGAAATCGAATGCAGAGCCTTATGAATGCAAGGCAAGCACTCTACCACTGAGCCACCTTCCCAGCCCATAGAGGTACTTCTTGAAGTCCAGGAATGGAGTTAGTAGTCAAAGATTACAAGCATGATGTCTTAATCCATTTTGCCAGCCCTTGTTCTAGAAACTCCATGAATCGTCTCCTGAGGGTAGTTCTGGCAGCATTAAGTGTTAGTGCTGAAAATTCTTTGATAATGTGATGGCCATAGTGGTATCTGAGATGAATAGAATATGTGGTACAATTGGTATAGGATATGGGTCTTACTGGTGTTGCCTTTTTGTTTTCAGACAGTCGTTCTAAATCTTGTTCTACTTTATGTGGAGTTTGAACCTAGGGTACTAAGCATGCTGAGAAATCTTTGTATAAGATTACACTGCTCAGACAAGATTTCATATAAATAAGAACTTGTTTGATCTGATTGTAAAGCCTCATTAAAACAAGACTCAAGATAAAAATTCCTAACACCTTATTTCACCAAAATTTTTTTTTAAATTTTATTTTCTTGTAAAGATGCTGTACAGAGGGGTTAAAGTTACATGAGTAAGGTAATGAGTACATTTCTTGTTGAGCATTGTTACCCCCTCTGTTTTTCTCCTACTTTCCCTTCCCTCTCCTACCTCCCATCCACCCCCACACACAACACACAAAGTTGTAAAGTTCATTTCCAACATAGTGTCTTGTGAGTATTATTGTTGCAATGGGTCATCCTGTGTCCTTGTTTTAGCATTTTGTTTTTCCCCTTCCCCTCCCCAAATTAGATAAATGTATGTACAAGATGCAGGGTACCAAAATCATATTTGATAACAGGGGATATACCATAGGAGGAAGAACATACAAAAGAAACAAAAAATTACATAGTACAGAGCTTCCCTGTGACCCAGCAATCCCATTTCTGGGCATTTGCACCAGAGATCACAAACAAGGCCATATTAAGGCTACCAGCACAATTATGTTATCACAGCATTATTCACCACAGCTAAGATATATAACCAAACCAGATACCCTCAGTAGATGAATGTACCAAGAAATTGTGGTGTGTGTGTATATATATCTATATGTGTGTGTGTGTGTGTGTGTGTGTGTGTGTGTGTGTGTGTGTGTGTATACACACAATGGAATTCTATGCTTCCATCAGAAAGAATGACATTTGTTAGGAAATGGAAAGACTTGGGAAAAAATCATATTAAGTGAAGTAAGCCAGACCCAAAGAAATATTGGTCCCATGGTTTCCCTTATTTGAGGTAATTAGTATACATCTATGTTAATGTTATCAGATGAGAAAGAAAACTGAAAAGCTATGTACATATGACCATATAAGATGATGCTAAGTGAAATGAACCCCAAGATGTGGATACGAGGCTTTTCTTTGTTGTTTTTATTATATCAAAATGGTTTTCACAATCATATTTTTTACTTCTAAAGTCTGAACATTTTTAGCACATTCTATTAGTATTGATCATTAACCTGAACTCCTAGCTTTCACTTAGCATTTTCACTTTCATGTTTTAAAATTAGTAAGATGAAATGTAGGACTAATAAAAGAAAGGTAGTTGGCTATTGTAATACTATTTGAAGCTATTCCTTATTAGGTCCATGTAAAAGTGAGTGAAAAGATTCTTAATCACACTATTTAAAATGAAATATGATTCCATTTTTAAAATGTAGAAAGGTAAATTAGGTATATACTCCCTCAGAAAAATCAAGGTATGTTCATGTTACCAGAAAACAAGGAATATACCATATAAACATGTATAATCAAATGATTATCAAATTTTACTAATATCAATTCTGGCAGAATGCCAACTTTATTTTAAAAATAATTCTGGTAGTAAAAAAGGAGGTGGAGGGCTGGGAAGGTGGCTCAGTGGTAGAGCACTTGCCTTGCATGCCTGAGGCCCTGGGTTTGCTTCCTCAGCACCACATAAGCAAAAAGAAAAAAGCCGGAAGTGGCACTGTGGCTCAAGCGGTAGAGCGCTAGCCTTGAGCTGAAGAGCTGAGGGACAGGGCCCAGGCCCAGAGTTCAGACCCCAGGACCGGACCCTCCCCTCCCCTCCCCCCCCACCCGCAAAAAAAAGGAGGTGGAGGGAAGAAGCTATTAAGTACTAGTAACATTGCTTTAATCACATTTGTTTTTTCCTTAATTTAGTCCACAACAGCACTGGTGAGTGAAACCAAGAGAAGGTAAAAGTGTGCAAGAACAAATCTCAGTTCAGTCCTGCTGCTTTTAAGGCTGTGACTGTAGGTATGACCCAAATGGTAGAGTGCCAGCCGGTAGCAAGCAAGCCCTATGAGAGAGTGAGGCCATGGGTTTAAGTCCTGGTACCAGCAAATAAATCAGTGAATAATAATCTGTATATTATGTTGCTTTTCATATTTTTCACTGTAATTAATTACAGAGTTCTATAATTTCTTGATGAATTTTCCTTTTTCTTCCTCAGTTGGTTAGTGATGTGAATTGTGGAATTGCAGATATATTGTGGGGAAAAATTGTACAGATGTAGATATTATTGTCAAGATATGCATACCATGAAACTGTTCTTCAGTATTATCACGAATCTGTAAAGTTACATGAAACAAGACCATTTTTCCAAACAATGGAGCAAAGAGAAAAAAGTTCAGATACTGAGCAAGAAATAAAAAGTGGCAAACACCATCACTCTAGCTATTCATCTGATTTTGGCACTACACCACAGTCTTCTGGCCAGACCTCTCTTGTCAGTACTTTACGTACAGATTCTAGGGAAACAACTACTAAAAAACAAGTATCATATAACCAAATGCATCAGCGAGGTAAGTATTATGTAAGAGTCCTTTGGGTGTAGAAGACATTTAGGAGGACTTAAGTAAGACTCATAGAAATGAAACTATTCCATTAGTGGGTTTTTTGGTAAAATACATAGAAGTAGGCTGATTTTTCAGTAGGCTATATTTTGAAAAATTAATGTTAAATAATACTTTTGGATCTCATATTAGGAATTTTTATCTCGTCTTGTTTTAATGACAGGTTTTAATGACATAAGTTCCTATTTATATGAATTCTTGTCTGAGTAGTATAATCTTATACATCACAGATTTGTTAGCATGCATAGAAATAAGATTGAGAACTGAAATTTCTAGTCTGTTTTTCATAACAGCTCTGTAAAATTTTCTTTTTAATGAAACATAAGGTGTTAAATTGTAGAAATGGGTTTTTGCTATTTCTTGGTTATATAATGAATCAGGTATCCATGGTTGGTGCCACCTGAAGGGAAAGTTAGATTTTCTAGTTTTCCTTCATTTCATTTTTATTCTGAATGCATTTCCTCCTGGAAACCCAAATAATCCTCAAGTCACCTTGGTGATTACAGTTCATTGTTCTTACCTTGTGCACATTCAGATCACTGTCTTAAAGAACTGATGGTTGTATTTTGAAGCTTCAAATTCTTCCAAATTTGTAAGAATTCTTACAAGTTCATATGTACTCTTTAGAGATTTTATATACTTATTATTTAGAATGCAATTTTTTTTCTTTCAAACTATGTCATATGTTTTAATTTGAACATCACACAAAAATTCCCCAAGGAGGTATTTAGAAGCATACTTGTACTCCTGGTTTTCAAGACTGATAATAAGATATAAGTTCTTAATTATATAATAAATATTTTTAATTTTAAATTATTATTATAAAGGTGATATGCAGAGAGGTTAGAGTTACATAAGTCAGGTAAAGAATACATTTCTGTATTCTGTATTCAGTGTTACCCCTTGCCTTATTCCTTTCTGTCCCCACCCAAAGGTTGTGTAGTTCATTTTCCACATAGTGTGCAGTGAATAAGTATTCTACAGAATGCGCTACAGAGGTTTCTTTTTTTTCTGTGCATACTTCATTTACTCTCATGGCTTCCTATTGAGGTGATGATGTCTCCATTCTGTGGGTCAAGAAAATGACGTGGAATGGTTTAATTGAATTGTACTGATAATTATGAAGTGGCAAATCAGATTATCAAATCTTCTTACTAGTTGATATGCTGGTTTCCTATTTCCCCAAATAAGGAAAAGCAATTCTAGTTGATTTAGAGGAAACATTTTCACATTTAACCAAACAACAATCCCAATTGTCTCGGCACAGAAGACTTAGATACTGCATCTGATCTAGTGTTTATCTTACACTTCACTAATACTGATGATGCTCATATTTGAATCTGACTTGCCATCCTAGAGTATGATACTGTTATATTCTAGGACAGGGTAGAATAATTCTATATAAACTATTGGGATGCCATTCTTGAGGCGCCAGAATGTTCTCATCTTTTCTTAGAAGGTACCAGGCTATTCTTAATAGTAGAAAGACATTAAATAAAAGCCATTATTTAAATGTTGTCTTTTCAGAGCAAAAATAACTAAAAAATGTTATGAACCCAAGTGTGTTAGATGAATAACTGAGTATTCTTGATGTAGCTATTATTTTGCATCATTATTGTTTTCTTATTACATTTAGTCTATCTCTCATTTTGCACTATTAGTGTTTCTGTTTTAGCTCCTAGGAAACTAAGCTGTAAAGCTGTACCAAACAAAAAGGGCAGCCGAATGGGATTTTGCTCCCAGAATCTCAATAGAGAGCCACTGCGGAAAGATCCTGATCTTGTTACAAAACGCATTCTCTCTGCAAGTCTGCTAAAAATCAGTGCGTTGCAGAATGAAGTATGTGAACTCCAGGTCAAGATAGCTCAGCTGCTAAAAGAAAATAAGGCTTTGAAAAGGCTTCAGTATAGACAGGAGAAAGCCCTGAATAAGTTTGAAGATGAAAATGAAATTGCTCAACTTATACTTCGTCATAACAATGAGATTACAGTGCTCAAGGAATGCTTAAGAAAATCTCAAGAGAAAGAACGAGACACAGAAAAGAAAGCGAAAGACACTGAAGGTGAACTGTTTAGGACAAAGTTTTCTTTACAAAAACTGAAAAAGATCTCAGAAGCCAGACACCTGCCTGAACGAGATGATTTGGCGAAGAAGCTAGTGTCAGCTGAGTTAAAACTAGATGACACCGAGAGAAGAATTAAGGTAAAGACCATGGCTTCTAATTTTGTTTTTGTGGGCATGTCATGTGCTCTAATTAAATAACATGTTGCAGTTTGGCATTTGGCATTACTATTTTCCTGAGAGAGAAAGTAGGAAAAATTTAAAGTTGCACATATGAGAGCAAGATGCCAAGGAATGTATACATTGATAAGCCACATGTTGACTGATAATTGTTTAATTCCAGATTTTAGGCATTTGGGAATTACTTTACCTGGGTTTTTTCTTCCTCCAAAATGGAAAATGAAGCTGTCACAACCCATAACATTGACTTTTGAGGGCCTGTGTAAGAAACTCCTTGTGAATAATGCTGTGTGTGTGCATGTGATATGCACAAGAACTGGGGCTTGTATTCCGGACCTTTTCCTGTCATTTCTCTTGTTCACTCATGGCTGGTGCTTTACCACTTGAGCCACACCTCCACTTTCATCTTTTTTCTGGTTAATTGGAGATAAGAGTCTAGCAGGTTTTAAATCTTGATTCTCAGATCTCAGCCTCCTGAATAGCTAGGATTATAGATGTTAGCATCTGTGCTTTGGTTTTGGAGAGTGTTCCTCCTCCTAAAATAAAAGCTGATAGGAGAGTGGTTAAGACTAGTAACTTGTCTGAGAGCAGTACAATTGAAAAATTTCTTGTTTCTATAGAGAAAGAAAGGAAAGGAGCCCTATTTCAAGACTTACATTAGGTGATACTTGGTATCAAACATAAGCTTGAGTTTGGTTCTAGTGCTTCAGAACTGATGAGTAGTTTGGAAAGCAAAAGTAGCCAAAAATTGTGGGAATAATGCCTGCTCTAAGACTCGGCCCAAAGGAAGTTCAGAAGTTTAAATAAGTGCTTACTCTGTAGAGTAACTAACCCTTGCTCAGGGGCTGTGACTTTATTAAACACACTATATACCAGTGGTCAGAAAAACTGCCTGGTTTATCCTCTGAAATTTTCTATCATTGTCCTTTATTTCAGCACAAAGACAATCATGTTATAGAGATTCTGCTACTGATCAACTTTTAAGTGCAAAGCCATATTTTTCCATTTTTAAATTTTTTATCATCTTTAAATAATTGTACAAAGAAGTTCCCATTCTACAAAACAGTATGTGAATACAAAGTGTCTGACAGCACTGCCACCCATCGCTCCTAATCCAACCCTTCTCTCACTTTTTAATTGAAAGTAGGTGATTACATAAATTTCACATATTTCACAGTATTGTGAAATAGTGATACTTAGTTAAAAGTCACAAATACCCGCATTTTCCAAACCAAAAATAGGTCCAGACAGGAATGGCTCATTAATACACTTGTAACTTTCCTTGGTACCTGGGTTAATGGAGGACAGTGAGGGCCTGGGATCTGCCTCTGTGTCATGTTCTGCAGCCTGTTGTGGTTGATAAACAGGCTAAAAATTGAACCTCACAGATGCATACAGTAGTTTAAAAATAGCAGAGTTTTTAAATAGTTTTTTTCAGAGAACTGAGTGTTCATTACTATTATGTTAACACTTGAGTTATATATCTCAACAGTTAAGTTACAAAATGGAATCAAATCACATAAATGAACTTTATGTATTCAGTAACAAGGCAGTGCTTTCATCTCCTTTGAATGAATGTTCTAAGCATGATTTTGTAACATCATGCATTCTTCATTTGGAAAATATCAATTAAACTGTGCAAATTTCCCAAATGTTGGTAAGTGTCCCTGTAGCATATCACCTGTGATTCAGACTGTATCCTTAGGACAGACAGCACAATAGTGAAAACAGCAGATAGTGTGCTTCTAAAATAGTTCTCACCCAGACACACCCCAGAGTGTTCTGGAGATATTTACTGTTCCTCCCACTGTTCTTTGGGAACTCCTGTTTTGCTGTAAATTAGAGCTTCATTAGCCCTTGCTGCAATATGCAGCTTCTTTTAGTGACTACACCCCCTGCACCATTTCTGCCTGGGCCTGGTGCTCATCTTAAACAGAGCTCCAGGAAAAGGCTTCATTTCTGTGTGAACCTTCGAACTGACTGAAGCCGTCTTCCTGCTGTAGAGGGAGTGGCAGATCAGAGCTATGGCCAGCTGTGAGTCCTAAAGCAATGAATCATAATTATAAGAATTCATAGTCATTGAAAGGAATTACCTTACAAACTCCAAGCAAAAGATCAAAAATAGAATTTTATAATTACATAATTATTTTTAAAAACTCTAGTAAAATATAGAGTATACACTTAGTACATAAAAGTGTCCAACTGGGCTGGGAGGGTGGCTCAGTGGTAGAGTGCTTGCCTTGCATGCATGAGGCCCTGGGTTCGATTCCTCAGTATCACATAAGCAAAAAGAAAAAAAGCCGGAAGTGGTGCTGTGGCTCAAGTGGTAGAGCGCTAGCCTTGAGCTGAAGAGCTGAGGGACAGCGCCCAGGCCCAGAGTTCAGGCCCCACGACCGGACCTCCCCTCCCCCCAAAAAAAGTGTCCAACTATTTTTAAACATTAAATTGACACAGCAAAATCACCTTGTCAGAAACACATGAATTATTTAGGCTCACCTTTTTTTTAGAAATATTTAAGGACTTTAGGAAATGGTTCACCTATCAGAACTCAGTATCAGAGCAGTGAAAGTCATTTTGAGTGGAATTTTCTTTTCTGATAGATCCCCTATAAGCAACCAGATTCTCCACGAGCTTCTTCCAAGTTTGTGCTTAGTGCTTATTAGCAAAATCACATTTCTCCTCAGTGTAAACATTTCCAACAGTAAGATGCCAGTGAGCACACTGTCCTCCCTTTTCACATGGGCATGGCAGCCAGTTTCCTTTCATCTTTCTCTGCCAGGCTTCCTTCTAGAGGAGGGTATTGGTCTACATCTGCCACTTTGGTGCTATTTCTAACTAAAGAGCTAATTAGGACAGAATAATGAGGTTAGACTAGCAGACTGGCTCTGCTCCTGTCCTGCCCTTACTTTTAACCTGCCTGTCTTTTAACCTCCAAGTTTCATGTGCTTCTTCTGCAGAAGTAAATGGTATAGTTTATGAGATGTGTTTTCATTCTGAAATCTGAGGTCTAAGGGCACATCTTTAAGCCTTTTACATACACAGAATATTTTTAGAGTGGTAAACCTGCATTTCCTTTCCTAACAAGAAAATTATTCTAATGTTAGAGAGATGAAAATTTTCTAGTGTTGAAAAATAATTTTTTCGTAAATAACACCATTTACTTATATCCTCCTAATTGTTATCATTGCAAGCGTTGACTCTGTTTTTTTTTTTATTCTGTGTATATCTATCATGTAAAATCATGAGATCAGTGATATAAGAAAGTTTAAAATAATTTTAGAAATTAAATTTGGAGAGATGTTGGAAACTACTCACTCAGAACAATTGTTAAAGCAATTTTGTGTTAATATTGTTTAGGTAATTTTTCTATTGAAAAAGTAATACAGGCACTAAAGAAGAGCTTAGAAATTCAAATAACAGGGGCTGGGGAGGTGGCTCAGTGGTAGAGCGCTTGACTTGCATGCATGAGGCCCTTGGTTCGATTCCCCAGCACCACATAAGCAAAAAGAAAAAAAGCTGGAAGTGGCGCTGTGGCAAGTGGTCGAGCGCTAGCCTTGAGCTAAAAGAGCTGAGGGACAGCGCCCAGGCCCAGAATTCAGGCCCCACGACTGGACCCAAAAAAGAAATTCAAATAACATAGAGGGGCTGGTGATGAAATGTCAGTGTCCCTCCCTATTGTAGACCCCTTCCCAGAAGACCATCACTGTGAGAAATTACCATTACCTGTGCAAGTTAACATCTGTTAGCTAGTGTACTGTGCACATTGCTGGAAACACTGCTTTTTCACCAAAAAGTGTGTTTCGGCACTTTGTGCATAGCATTCTAAAACACTATAAACAAACTATCAGTTTTGTGCTTTTTAAAAACCTGCATATTAGCTGGGTGCCAGTGGTTCACATCTGTAATCCTAGCTACTTGGGAAGCTGAGATCTGAGAATCATGGTTTGAAGCCAGTCTGGGCAGAAAAGTCCATGAGACCTTTATCTCCAACTAACTACTTAGAAAAAGCTGGAAATGACACTATAGCTCAAGTGGTAGAGTGCTAGCCTCAAGTACAAAGAATACCCAGGTCTTGAGTTCAAGCCAAAAAAACAAAAACAAAAAACAACTAATATTGTGTAAGTACATCACATAATATGATGAGTCTTACCTTTTTTAATGTAGGTAGGGATTTAGGGTCATATAAAAGATTAATGTCCTAAACATGCATACAGTATAAATATGTGTATATGTCTACGTATCTGTATACATAGGCACACACTAGACAGTGTATCTGACATAGAAATAATGTTTGTTTCAGTATTTTTGTTTTTCAGTGTGTTGGGCCTGGGTGCTGTCCTTGAGCTTCTGCGCTCAGAGCTAGCACTCTGCTACTTGAGCCACTGCTGCACTTTCAGCTTTTTTGGTAGTTAATCGAAAGCAAAAGTTTTACAGCTTTCCTGCTGGGCCTGGCTTTAAACTGTGATCCTCAGATCTCAGCCTCATGAGCTAGGATTACAGGTGTGAACCATCAGTGTCTGGCAGAATTAGTGTTTCTTACAAGAATGAATGGATGGCCGGATTGGTGAAATTGGGGCATTTGTGACAGGTTCAAAGATAGAAAGGACAACTTAACTTGATGGACAGATGACAAGAGCAAGATTTAATTGATCTCCCAGACTCAAAATCTGGCCCCAGACAAGCAAAAAGATATTTAATCAAATTAAGTCCTCACTTTAAAAGAAAAAAGTATTTAATGGGTAGCAATTATTTTCAAGTCTTGGCTTGAAAAAGTATAAAGTTATAAAAAGTATAAAATTTTATATACTAAAATCATATTGCTGCTTCAAAAAGTCAGAGACGGAAAAAGAGTTTATGGAATAGTCATGCCCTGGTCCTCAGACGTAATAACAACTAATTGTACTGGTTAGATCTCATCTATGGACAGGTTAAAATTTCAGACAATGAAGTGTCATTTAGCC